AAATGGATATCTGAATCAGATCCTTAGCAAAGTCACTGTGGTATTCAGCCTCACTACATAGAAAAAATAATCTGGGGCATACTTCAGTCATACATACATAGGTATATAATGTGCGCAGGGTGCACGCACAACTGCAGCGACCCATTGTACACAAACTGGGTGCATGATCGTGTGCCCATATTATTTGACAAATATGGCTCCGGAGGGTAATAACAGAATTTAGATGGCCCAGGAGACTGGTGATAGGGTAGACAATCTTGCACATGGGGTGACCCATTTGTGACAGATCCAGGCTGTTACTAGTGCCCAGAAGTCAGAGAGATTGTGATTTCAGTTTAATTCCTAGTGGCCAGTTCACACTAGCCTGTTCACCTTGTTTTGCATTGACTGGCTCCTTTGCTGGCAGGCTGAACAAAGAGACAAATGAATGGACTTTGGCATGTATTGGGAGTGGCTGCAGGGGTAGAAATAGGTGAGAGCGCTTTAGATTAGCCAGGTCCGGTCCCACCAGTGCTCAAGCAGAGCCTGCCAGAGCTCAGCCAACAAGCAGGGTAACTTTGTTGTCACCTTACTTGATGCTGGTGCTGCAAGACTGCCGTCAGCACCTGCGCTAGCTTGTTTAGTTAGTCCAGGTATCTCTGAATTAACCTGTTATCACATCTCTGCATTGCAGGCATCCCCCAAGATGCCTTTATATTCAAAGTCAGTGCTGTGTGTTTGCATGGGGGTGAGGTGGAGGGAAAATCTTTTGCCCTGTCTGGGGGATGCCTCTTTGATCTAAAAACAGTTCAGATAAATTTGGATTACCTGGGACTTCTAAAGTAGCCCTGTTTATTTTTTCAGTGGGCTCTCTTCAGCTAGGAAAAGGAGTACAAATCCGACTGAAGTGATCTTTATGAACATCTTTGAAGCGAAGACACCTTTATCCAATAAAACGGTTGAAGAGCTTATAACAAATGTAGCTGATGACATAACCGTTAATTCCAAGTCCTATAAGTGTAAGTACAGCACTAAGAGTAATGGTTATGATTTTCCAGGAAGGATAGGGTATGTGGATGATGAAGCCCTGAGACAAGTAATCCTCAGTGATAATGATGAATTAAGTATCTAACTTCCCTTTCTTACTTTGAAAAGCATTTGTTGTAATTCTTTTTTCTCCTTGAGACCATGATGATATATATTTGTTATATGGGAAAAGATAGAAAATACTTTTTTCAAACTAGGAAATGTCAGGCTTTTTTCCATATGGTAAATGTTAGGTGGCCATCAGGAATATCCACAGTTACATTAGATTGACCAACAATGGAAGAAATATAGTTTCATAGTAGGTAGGGTCGGAAGGGACCTGAGCGGATCATCAAGTCCGACCACCTGCTGTGGCAGGAAAGGATGCTGGGGTCAAACGACCCTGGCTAGGTGATTATCTAGCCTCCTTTTGAAGACCCCCGGGGTAGGAGTGAGCACAACTTCCCTTGGGAGTTGGTTCCAGGTCCTAGCCGCCCTGACAGCGAAGTAGCGCCTCCTGATACCTAGCCTGAACCTGCTCTCAGCATCACATGTATTCAGCATTCAAACATTTGTATGCTTCTAAGAATAAACCATCCTCTTACTCCAAAATTAGAGGGAATCTTTCCTTATCACCTGGTTATTCCATCGTTTTCCAATATGGGGTCTCTTGCCCCTTTGGTGAAGTATCTGATATTGGCTATGTTGAGGCAAGACTCTGTTGATGCAAATGCTTTCTCGTGTCAGAATGGATTAGACAAATGTTTGAGAATTGTTTTCTGAAGTGAGAACTCAGTGACCAGTTGCCTCACTGATCTAGTGCAAGCCTTACATTGCTAAAAAACCATTCATACTTGACGAAAAAAGTACTAATGCTTAGAACTAAACAACTTGCTCTAGACTTCGTCGATGCTCTTCTTTATTCTGCAGAAATAGTTATTTGAAAGTCATCCAAAGCTGTGTCTAGTAAAAAGAATTCACATTTTCAAGTCAAAACCATGAATTTTTGCCTATATAGTTGTTATCAAAGGTGTTCAGGTGATTTGAGTAGCTCCAGCAAAAACATAACTTGCATCATTTTTATGATGCAGTTTATTTATAGGAACCAAGGCGTTGAGACTACCCTGAGTGCCACATGTCTTGGGCTTTCATGTAACCTTGTAAGGATGTGGTAGGATTAGTACAGGTTTGTCCGACTTCAGCCTGGCCTGGGACACACACTGCACCAGCCATGCTCATGGGGTAAAACTGGAGAGGTAGAGGGATCCCTCTTCCCCACTGGAAGTATGCAGCCCTCCAGGATCCCCTTCTCCCCCCACCCTCCCGCATGAACCTCCATCCCCTCTGCTGTACTCTGTCTCTGAAAATGGAGGATGCCAACAGCTTCACAGAAATGTAGAAAAACCCTTATCATGGACAATTATGGCATAATTGTCATACTGTTCAACATCTTCATTAATGATGTGGACACGGGAGTCAGAAGTGGACTGGCCAAGTTTGCCGATGACACCAAACTTTGGGGCAAAGCATCCACACCAGAAGACAGGCAGGTTATCCAGGCTGACCTGGACAGGCTCAGCAAGTGGGCGGATGAGAATCTGATGGTGTTCAACGCCGATAAATGCAAGGTTCTCCACCTTGGGAAAAAAAA